GTGTCATGTACAGTGTTTTAATACAATGCTGAGGGCTGAAAGTTGTCTTGTTTAGAGTGGTGAAAGTTCAGGATATGCCAGCCACTATGGTGGGTCAGAGTTAATGTGTTGCAGTCAGTTCGGCTTCAGCAAGCACACGGATGGGCATACGCATCAAGACCTGCTCTGCCATACTTTCAGCCAATTTTACCTAGGTAAGTCTTTTCTTTTTATCTGCCAAAAGCTATGACATTGTGAATTTCAGTGCTGTGGCCTGCGTGTAGCTTTCAGGAAAGCAATTCTAAATAAAGCTATGATAAAGTGAAAAATCAGCAATGCAGCCCTCTATTACATGATTTTCTACAACATCTTACTTGTTCCTTGCATAATGCATGGAGAGAAAAATGCAATGTTATGAATTCGTTTATTCACATAATTTGACAAGCATGCAGTTACCTGCTACTATCACTGCACAAAACAGAGCAGAAAACATCAGTTGATCAAACACAAGACACAACAGAAGTTTACAACATAGGGCTGCCGAACCCTGCTTCCTCCTGCACCACACACTGTAAACCAAATCTACAAGTTGGCTCCTTGTTACAAGTTTGGTTCCAATTCGCATAGGCGTCACCTTGTCGATTCACCAGCCCCAGGCTTGTTGGCTAACAAACTAACAGTTTGTCTACAAGTTTGGTTCCAATTCGCATAGGCGTCACCTTGTCGATTCACCAGCCCCAGGCTAGTTGGCCAACAAACTAACAGTTTGTCTACAAGTTTGGTTCCAATTCGCATAGGCGTCACCTTGTCGATTCACCAACCCCAGGCGTGTTGGCCAACAAACTAACAGTTTGTCTACAAGTTTGGTTCCAATTCGCATAGGCGTCACCTTGTTGAGTACTAGTCTGGGCCTTGTGAACCTACCAACTTCTGGATAGGCATAGCCGTTTCCTTGTCGGTTCAACAACCCCTGGTTTGTTGATGAACTAGCCTTTGACTGGGCATTGCTAGTTTACAAATTGTCAACAAGTAAGTGTACTAACGCTCAGTTCGAACTTGTTCTTCCTTACAATCGCTTTGTTTGCGTTGATAACCTTAAGAACTTACGATTCGCGTTCGTTTTCAATTGCCACGATACTGATTCAGGAAATATTTTTTATACGGACAGGTCATTTTTTGGCTGGAAGTGGTGCACAAAATCATGACTGGCATCAGTTATTGCTCAAAGGCTTGCGCTGACAAGAAACGAAATACTGATGGGTTATATAATCGATGAATGCATACACCACATCCATTCGGAAGTTTCTGGAATCATTAGTATTTATTACGGTCACGTACCTACGTCACGTAGTATGTAATTATTACTATTGACTGGAGACAATTCCAAGTGCATATTTTCGAATGGATGTGGTAAATGCATGAGGTATAAGGTATACCTATCGTGCACCGTCAGCATATAAGTCTTTGAAGCAAGAACTGCTGCGTATGTGGAAGAACATGGTTTTGTGCATCGCATCAAGCCAGAAGTATAACATGCCCGTATGACGAATATTTCCACATTGACCATAACAATCATGGCAGTTGCACGATCACGCAGATAATTCGAATAAAGCATGATCGCCAACCAGATTAGCTTTTACAGCCCATATATGTCCATCAGTTAAGTTAAAAATACAAAGAGTTGAATTAAAGGCAAATAAATGTATTTATATATAAAAAACACCGACCGCAAAACATCTGCTCACATGTGCATGCAAAGGTCTGGCCCACTTACATTGCGCGCGCAGGGGAAGGGAGGCGTCTCGACCGCGGGTATAGGCACAATTAGTGCGTCCCGCAGGCCAGAGCGGGCCTCACTCACAGCACGAACACCACAGTTCACAGATTTCACTTTTTACTGCACAAATGCTGGAACAACCCTCGTCGCTGATCCATGCTGCACGGCGGCCGCGCGACAACTGCTGGTTTGAACGGTTTGAAACCGCCGCGCCGGGGCCGGACGGCGACCGCTGATTGGTCCGCCAAGTCTGACGTCACGGGCGCAGCTGACCATGTGTATGCTGACCAGCTGACCAGTACAAGTTAGGCGCCGGTTAAATAACCATGCGGCAACAAGTTTCCAAAACTGGTTAAGAAACAAACGTTGAAACAAATGTAGAGTTGGTCTGGATACTGAGAAGTTGGTGTGCATAGTAACTATTGACTCGTAGTTGTCATCTGACAAGCAATGCACCAGACAACGGCTTGTTTGAAAAGTATCAGTTGGTAAACATACCAAGAGATGATTGGTTATATTACACAAGACTTGTCAATTTGGTTTACAGTGCAGTTGATGCCATTTCCTAGCCTGGCTTGATGTGAGCACTGAAAAGCTGCTTTGTCTAATTACAGCTCACTACCATTCAACTTTAACTACTCTCTTTAAAGTAAGAGTGAGAGCGTTCAGTGTTCATAGCAGCTCGACAGACGACAGACAACAAACATCTTGACAAACCAACCAGTACCTATTTGATTTGGCTAATGATTTATGTGCTTGTTGTATCATGGCCAAACTACTTTAACAGCAATAATCCCTGTTTCATCTTGATCTTGCTTTTATTTCCATTTGAACTCATCTTGAAACAATCATCTGAAGTGATATCAGATACTGGCTTCTGTTTCTCTTGAAAGCAAGTTAAAACAACAATGATAAACTAAGGCAGGAGATGTGAGTTGTGGCAGTAGATTTTTGATTCAACATATGTCAACCTTATATTGCTTGAGACCTCTGTGACAGACAAACAAATATTTATAGTTTTTTGATAGTTTGGATTCTTGGCTTGATTTAGCAGATCAGCTGTGAACCTTGACTTTGAAATCACATAAATGTCATGGTACCCGAACGAATCCTCGCATGACATTTCTTCGTAGCACAATTTTTCGTCCGCATTTCTTCGTCTACAAATCTTCGTCGGTGCATTTATTTGTCCCTCAATGCTTACTTTTGCATATATTTGCGTTGAAGAAGAAATGCGAGCCGATTTTCATATACCCTGATGCGAGACAAAGTAATGCGATACGAATAAATGCCCTGACGAAGATTTGCAGACGAAGAATTGCGATACGAAGAAATGCCATAAGAAGAATTGTCCTGGAATCCTTTATTGGCCATCATATATTGACCTTGATAAGATAAACGCATCATTCGCGCAATATTTGTCGCACTTTGATACCAAACTATTGCTTCCAAATGCCGACGTAAAGAAAACCTTTATGTGACGTCATAGAAACAGCGGAGTTCCCAAAAAGTAAACAAAAATAAAAGTCTTATATCTCGAAAACGGGTGAATATTTTCCGGTAAAATTTGGTAGATGTTCATTTTCGCTCTTTGTGATTCACGCTACATCACTTTTATGCCAATTCATTAACTTTTTTGAAGGTGGGAGGGTCCCTTTAAGATGGCATTGCTGCGCTGCACGGCATATGCACGAGTCTGAACACTCTACCTTCCTGTCGTATCGTGTAAATAGTCCTCATGCAGGTATGACACTTAACTGTGACTGTCTGTGAGTTTACGAAAACTGTACCTATACTCAATGAACAGTAAATTGTCTTTAAAGTTCCTCATATCCGTCGACGCATCATCTCTCGAATTAAAAAAAAAACCTCAGTGTGTTCGCAGATTCATTTTCAATAGTGACAGTCGAAAACATTTTTCTGTAGGTATGTTTTGGTTCATGAGAACAGATTTAATTTGTACACGCCTTCTGAAACTGAGCCGCCCAAGGCTAGGTCAGCTAACAGTAGCAAACCTTATGACACGCTAAAGTGTGTATTTTTGCACTTGTAGGTACCTATTTCTGCTACACACACTTGACATTGCACAGTATAATTGAACAACGCATTACCGGCCTGAGAAAGTTTTGACAAGGTTTGTAGGCAGCTCGGACCGGAGCGGTGCGTGTCCGGTTGTGCCGGCGCGGGGCGGGGCTTGCCGTGGCAGCGCATCACTGCAGCCCTCCCCCCCCCCCCGTCTAGACCCGGCCCCCTCCCCACCGCGCCCCGCGGCGGCCGGCCTGTGTGACCGCGCATGGACCGGCCGGCCTGTGTGACCGCGCGTGGACCGGCCGGCCTGGGTGACCGCGCATGGACCGGCTGAGCTGTGTGACCGCGCATGGACCGGCTCGTCGAGACCGTGCCGATATGGCCGTGTGGTCCGATTATCCGATCACGTGGCATTGTGGTCTGGTCCACGGTCGCAGGGTCTGGCTGCGTGGTCTGGCTGCGTGGTCTGGCCGCCTAGTCTGGCCGCCTGGTCTGGCTGTGTGGTCTGGCCGCGTGGTCTGGTCGTGCCGTCGCGGACCACACGATCCGACTTCACGGTCAGATGTGCCCTATGCGCCACGCTGCAGAATCCTGGGAACACAACTGCTGAGCTGCCGCCCAGAATCCAATACCGAGCCACGTGCGGGGCGGAAAAGGCCCTATATACCCGGTCGGCCACGGCGGCGGCGTACGTGGTCCGGGCGGGGACGCCGCCGGGGGCACCGGCTGGGTGCTGAGCGGTCGCCGCCGCACCGGCGGCCGCTCTGTTCCGTCACTGAGGTGTCCGTGTGGCGACGTGGATCATGTTAGCCGTATGATTGGCCTCCAGTCTCCACCTAATATAAACAAGCTCCCACCGCGCTGTAGCTCGCCAAACCAGAACATATACACATTACGTAGCACCTACGCTTATTTTTTTTTATCATCGATGGCAGGAAAGAGGCATTTTGCTTATCGTATATTTATGGGTATTTATGTATTTGACAGTGACGACGAATATTCAATATTCTTCGATTGTCGATGGTCATGCAGTCTCAGCGAGTTGGATGTTCTAATTTGGATCGGCGCTCGTATAGCAGTTGAAACACAGAATCTGTATTTGACAGTGATGCTTTATAGCTTGATTTATCAATTAACAGACCCTTGAGCAGTGTACAATGTACATACCATTAAAAATATGTTCGTCAGTAACAAACGGCATTTTTGCTTGTTTCAGAAACATGTTCCCACCGAACCTGGTGCAGGCTGCTGGCTTCCAGGTACGTAGGGTACAACCATGTATGAACATTTGTAGGTATGCGTGGGTCTGAGATCTCTGCGATCGGCCTGTTTTCGCTCATACGAGCTCATGCCATCGGTCCCTGCACGTAGACATAGACATACACTGGCGGATCTGGGGGGGGGGCGGCAGGGGCTAAAGCCCCCCCATTCGAAACTCGACAGGGGCCTTCAGCTTCTCTTTCTGATATCCAGCATAAGTAAACTTTCATGCAATCTCCCATTCTTCAATTTCAAATTATCCTTAATGTTTTCATTGTCAAATAAAAATAAACGGGATGCGACCGCTGCCACCAAATGTAGACATGGCCAAGTGTCAGGAAACTTAAACGTTAAAATGAATAAAATGCTAGACAACTAAAACTGTATTAAAGAATGAGTTAAAATCAGGATAGCGTAAAAAGATGTTCGTAGTAGGTACAAAAGTTCGTTCGCAGGCCTTGGTTCGCATCTCCCCGTCACGACCTAATTTCACATTTTCTAGATCTTGTGATACCTAAAGCATGAGCTACATTTAACACAACGTACCTCTCATATCCAGGTAAAAGAAATGCAAAGAAATGCACACGTCCTACAAGAACACATTTTGGGCAATCAGTCTCCGTCCATTCTTCGGCAACTACGGTGCAAGGCAGAAATTGTATAGAAACTTGCATTTTGCACCGTTGACCTGACCTTGACCTGACCTCTGACCTACTTAAGCAAAAAAAATTGGGCTCTTAAGATCCGCCTTGTTGCTAACTTTCGATTGCCGTTTTCCCCGTCATTCTACGACCATCGGGTCGGAAGTTAGACGGGAGGGGGGGGGGCAGAATCTGCCCTCCCCCCCCCCCCCAGCAGGGCGCGTATGGCTGAATAGTCCAGCGGGGCGCGGGTTAACGCACAAGTGCTCCAATATCCCTCCACGAGTGTGATATTGCCGCCGTCGGACGGCCTGGTCCGGCTCGGAGCGCCGCAGTGGGGGTGACTGCCAGCGGTGCCGCGCCGCTTCCGTCCCGACCCGGAAGGACGGAGGCAGGCGCCCCGGCCGGGCCGCCGCCGGGGTCGTCAACAGAGCTGTGCGAATTCCTCTCGTCGGCGGACAGCGTGGCGGCCGGCGGCCCGACGAGCCGGGACACATTTTCCGCGCCGTCGCCTGCCTGTGGCGGCCTGGCGGGGCCGGGGCCGGGGCCGGGGCCGGGGCGCCAGCCGTTCACGAGCTCGCAGCTCCTGAAACCGGTACAGCCAGCGCCCGCACCCGCCGCGGTCGGGACTCTGTCCCACAGAGGCCGCTGACCGTCTGTTTGGGGCCAGTTACAGGAAAAACCTGGACGAGGCGAAATAGAGCTCACCCCTCCCCCCATTCAGATTTTTACGAGAACTTACACGGAATAGCGATCGAGTTCGTAATCCGGCCATTGATGTCTGTGCCCAGCCGGCGCCATCCGGCGGGCTGCTGGCGGCCGCGCGGCGGCGCCGGGCGCCTCGGTCCGCTGTCGCACGGAGCCGTCCCACTAATCGGCAATCGCCGCAGCTGTTTGCAGCCGATCAGCCGCTGTTTGCCGCGGCCATACCGGCTCGACTTTCGCCGCCGGCAAACAGATCTGTCAGCGAGGCCGGCGGCTGCGCACGGCGCCCCGACCCGGCACCACTACGAGCCACAGGCACCAATACGATCCACAGGCACAGGCCGGCGGAGACAGGCCGGCGAAGACAGACCGGCGGAGACAGGCCGGCGGAGACAGACACAGGCCGGCGGAGACACAGACACAGGCCGGCGGAGACACAGACACAGGCCTGCGGAGACACAGGATGCAGAGGCCTGTCATTGGTCGGAAGGCGGGGAGGGGGAGGGGGAGAGAACGCTCGGCAATTCAATGACGTGTGTGACTATTGATCAACAAAAATTCTAACTTGTGCTCGCAGTTATCAACTGGATATAGCGCCATCTTGCCTGTGGAGATGCTGAGTGCTCGTTAACCCTCGCGGGCCGGGGGTGGGGTGGGGGGGGGGTTCTCGCCCCCTAGCAAATATTTGCGATAGCTCCCGAACGCTTAGGGATAAGAAAGCGAAACTTTCAGTACCTTTTCTCCCATCAACTTGAAATATTCTGAAGTAAAAAAAATTGGACCTAGCCCCCTTGATGACGTCACAGGGTCGATTTTTCTTGACCCCTGTACGGCAAGCTTCGGCGCCACAGACGCAAACTTCAAATAGTTAGCTGCTAAAAATAGAGTTTTAGAGATAAAGACAAATTTTGCGAGCACGGTTGTGTAGCGTTTGAGCTACAGAAAAAGAGAAAACTATATTTGGTGACCTGAGGTCAGAGGTCAGGTCAACGACCCTGAAATGTAGTTTTAGTTTTTTGCAAATAACTTCGACAAAAATGGCCCTAGAGCTACGGCAGTGGTACCATCGCATTCGCCTTGTCAATACCTGTCAGGACTCAGGAAGCCCGCAACCATACCTTTTAGAGGGGTGTTCACACACCCCTCAGCGGGGAGTGGAAATCCAGGATTAACTGCGCGGGTTAACTTTTATGGATAAGAAAGAAATGTTCCAATTTTAAGGTGCTGTCTCAAATCGCCGAAGTTTCCCCTGCCGATTACTCTAGCTGTTCACACGCTCTGTGATCCATTCGGTTACATTGATTACTCTAGCTGTTCACGCACTGTTTTGGCTCTTGTGACAATTCTCAGCCTATTTTTCAGCATTCTGACCTCTCGATAATCCATCTTTACAGGCCTTTAGTGGACCTCCTTCTGGTCCCGCACTCGGCCCTTTTTGTCTTTTCTGCCGGCGGTCGTATTAACCCTCGCCGGCACAGGCCATTTTGAGTCCTTCGACGGCACAAGGGGGGGGGGTACGACCCCCCTCGCGTTTGGCCCCTGATGGAGCTAGAGCTTCGCGGAAAAAACGAGCGTGTTGCCCGCCACGAGAGGAAGCCAATGATACCCAATTTTAAGGTCCTAGGTCATCGGTTGACCTTCCAGGTCAGGTCAATGACAAAAAATCGGGAATACCGGGACCTGCTAGAAAGTCGTAAAGCGTAGCTGATAAGGGGTTTTCCGGGGTGCTGATCACGAATATCGTGTTAGTTTTGATCACAGATGATGTCGTTAAGCGCGTTTAGACCAGGTTGGGTCAGGTCAGGTCAGGTCAGGTCATCTTGTAGGGGTCGTGACGGGTATTTGTAATACGTGTCAACCGCCTCTGACAGCTTCGTAACATGTTACGAAGGCACCAAAATACTTCGTAAATGTTCAAATGGTTGCTAAATTCGAATTCAGCTCCAAAAACTAACCTAGATACATGTAAAACTCGGACAAAGTGAACCGAGGTCACCAAAGGTCAATGACCTGACCTGACCTTCAGGTGACCTTAACACCCACCCTAATGCATGGGAGCAACATCAAATCACATGTTTGAACGTTTGAAACCACGAAAAGCTTGCAAACGCGCGGCTAATGCGAGCCGAATATGTACGCCGAATCGCGATTTCGGCCAAACATGGTCACGGAAAAGAGGTCACAGGTCAAAGGTCATTGGAGTCAGGGTCATGAAATTTTCAGGGTACGTGTAAAATTGATCAAATCGAGGGTACTGAAAGTTTCGTCGCGATCGGCCGCTTTTTACGCGAGTTATTCGCGAAAAACCTTAGGGGGGTTGCATCAACCCCCCCCCCCCCCCTGTGCCGGCGAGGGTTAATCACTATCTACACTGGTTAGTCGAGCATGCATCTTTGGGCGCTTGTCCACGCCTTATCGTTAATTTTGCTCAGGGAGGGCCGAGCGCCGATATCGCATTATCCGCGGTATTCATGGCAGGTTTTCGATAAACTGTCTTTTCCAACGTCCAAAAAGGTGGCCAGAGTGGTATAAAAGACATGCATTTATTGACAGAAAATACGAGCATAGGCGCTCTTTTCATTATTGATGCTAGTAAGGCGCGCCACAAAGCATGCAGCCAAAGCCCCTGAATGCCTGCGCGCAGTCAATCAATGGGCTCTGTGCGGGCCGGGTGCGGTGGGTGCCACCGTCTCCGGCCAGCGGCGCGGCGCCCATCGCCGCAATATGGCCGGAGGCCGGCGCGTGCCAGAGCCAGATCAGCGGTCGTAATCGGCGCGTATTGCTGGCGGCGGCGGCCGGGCCGGCACTGCCGCGGGCCGGCCCGGCCCCGCCTGCAGGACTGTCCCGGCCCCGGCTCCTGCCCGTGACTGGCCCCCGCCTGCAGGACAGTCTCGGCTCCGGGCCCGCCTGCAAGATTGCCTGTGACGGCGGCTCATAGACCCGGGAACAGGGGGCAGCGGAAGCGCTTGCCCCCCCCCCCCAACTTGAGAGCCGAGGGGGCGGCGCCGCATCAACATTGAGGCAGCGAGAAAGGATCTTCCCTCTCTTTTCTGAACTTCTTTCCTTCTTGTTTCCTTTATAGGTACAGGTCACCGCTGAAGTAATGTGGGGTATCCGTACCTAGTGGTTAGAGTTTGCATCTGTATATTGGGAACCATTTGTCAGATTATCATGAAACTTGGAATGTAGCCTACATGTGCCATCATCATTGCAGCTGTAAGCTCGTATTATGTCACCTACCTTTAGATCACTCCGTATTTAAAAATCGTCGGTCAGAGCCATCTGTTGGTGAGATTGGTAACTAAATTCCTGATTACGCCACTGATGCCCCAACCACGTGACTCTGCAGCAAACCAATCACCGTGTTCGGAGGCAGCATGAATGGCGCCAGATGCCCCTGCGTCGAGGCTGGCGCCTCTCGGTTTTGGCGTGACCGAGAGTCGGGTCGCGGAGCGAGGTCAGTGGGGTCAGCCTCGCCAACCGCCTCCGGGCTAGCGGAGCGCTGGGCAGTGCGGGTCTGTAAGGTTGGCATACCCTCCGCGGCACCGAGCGTGCCGATAGTTCTTTCTAGGAAAATGCGGAATGTGTTCGTGGCTGAACTAGTCACAATGCCGTTTACATGATCAGGGCAGGTTGCAAAGTCACCGCAGCCA